ATAAAAAATCCTTACATATAGTTTTTTATAAGTGTGCTCAACTATGTTTGTGTTTATACTGATGTGTAACACCCCAAGCAAAAGTGTACAGTACTGAATGTCTACTGACTGTAACAATATATACCAATAATAACCACTCTTAATTCTATCCAATTAAATTCAATTAAAACTGAATATATTTGTAAAACTAAGTTAATATATATATATATAAGAATGGTTGATGTTTTTATGCAAGATATTTCATTATTTGTATTTCTTTGGTCAAGATTGACAAGGTTTTTTATAACAAACTTTCCATCCAAACTTAACTTAATGTTAATTAATGTTAATTAGAATGACAAATGAGTGGTGATAACCACCACATTCTTTTGATAAATGCTTACTCATGTTGATTCTTCCTTGTCTCTTTACTTCTTAATTTATTTTTCAAAGATGAGGAATGTTATTTGGTTCTCCTAAAGAAGACTAAGGATACCAGCTGCAACTTTTGATGATGGTTGCTACCACCTTTGCGTCATATAAAATGATTACAACTGCTGGTTGCAACTGCCTTTACAACTATTTTGTTTCCTTTTTGGGTTGCAACATGGAACACTAAAGAAGACATGTTAATAACTAACCATAGGTATTTTTTTTTATTTGTATTGTCTTTTTTTGGTTATTATAAATATATATTATTGAAATCAAAACATGGGCAGATCATTATTGGGTAATTATAAGATCCTCATCAAGATAGTAAACGAATGATTGTGTATTTTGCTTTTCGTAATCATTTATCAATATTAATATTAAATAATAATAAATAATTACAAGATGTCAAGGCAGCACAACTGTTACAATCAAATCTGCAATTACCATAGGTATCAAAGCACCAATTTTTAGATGCATGTCATTGCTAAATTACCAAGTGGAAGAACATCTTTATTCACCAAAAGATCATCTGTTGAACAAATTGTAGCAGAACATGCATGACAAGGTCTGGGTATATTTAAAAAATCTAAATGCAAAAAAGAAATGTTGACACATGATACAAGGAGAAATGATAAATAATAAATAAATAAATTTTATTGATGCTTGTACATTAAGTATTAACAATTTTTTTCAAAGTGTCACTAACAGCAACCAAAAATTCATCAGTGTTGACATAATGTTCTCTTTTTAGACTAAAATAATAATAATAATAATAAAAAATCAGTTATTGGAAAATATAAAAAAAATCTCTTAAATTAATTAACTTACTTTTTTCCATGAATTGATAATGCTAAATCTTTAGTCATTTTACCATGAACATCAACAGTGTCAATACAAGCTTGTTCAAGATCCGTGGAAAATTTTAATAATTTATCATTTCCATCTAGCCTAGCTCTGTGAGCCAACCCTCTTGTCCAAGCAAAAATTGAAGCAATTGGATTTGTTGAAGTTTCTTCACCCTTTATTTTTTTTTTTTTGAAGGTAGATGATGAAAGATAGAAAAAAAAAAAATAATTCAATAGTTATTTATTAATTTAATTTTTTACCTTTTGGTGTAAACGATAGTGTCTTGTTACAGTTCCTAGTAAAAAAAACAGAGATAAAAAAAAACAGATTAATAATAATAATAATAATAACAACAACAACAGATAGTCCTGTCAATAGATTATTGCAATTTATGATGATGATTATGATTATAATACCATGAGCTGCTTCTGATTCCATAGTTTTGCCATCAGGTGTCATGAGAACACTTGTCATTAGACCTAATGACCCAAATCCTAATTAAAGGAATAGTATTAAATGAATATTAATATAAGTTAAATTGGATATTAATGGTAAATTAATTAGTTGATTTGGTTAATTAATTAATTACCTTGAGCTAAAATATCTGACTATTAAAGTTTTTAATATTATTAATACTAATGATGAATGATTATTTTTTATAAGAATATTAAAGTGCAAATATTATACTTACTTGAACATCTCTAAAAGTGAGTAGTAATAATAATTAATTAATTAATTGATAAATATAAGTAATAATTCTAATTATATTTAATATAAGGTACTTGCCCATCATAATTTTTACATGCCCAGACGAATCCTCCATCAGATTTTAGTGCTTGAGCTACCATATCATCAATAAGTCTATGTTCATACCAAATATTTTGAGCTTTAAATTCATTTTTATATTTACTATAAAAAACATTAATTGATTAATAATTAAATATTTTATTTGATGATTGTATATATAAATATAATAAAATTACCTTTCATAAATTCCTTCAAAAATGTCTTTAAATCTGCCATCATATTTTTTTAAAATAGTATTTTTGGTACTAAGATACTAAAATCATTAAATTAATTAATAATTAATTAAATTCTCTAATCAAAAAAAAATATATGTATGTGTCATTAGCCTTGACCATTTAAAAAATTTTTTTTTACCAATGGCATGTTTTTGCTTAATGCCATCTTAAAACTGCTCTCAGCAAAACCTGTGATAGACTAAAAGAATTTTTAATAAATTGATAAATTAACAAACAATATAATGTGTGTATATATGTTACTTACCTCATCAGTATTATACATTGCCATTGTTACACCAGGGCCCTATAAAAAAGGTTACTATTGTTAATATTAATAATTACATTACTACTACTATTATTATCATCATCAACTTAAAAACATACCTTAAATTCATAAACAGTTTCTTCAACTGGGGAGTCATTATCATCAGGCAAGAATTTCAATAAAACTTTACCAGGTTTATCAATAACAAGATCTGTAGCTTTGTACTTTTTGTTTCAAAATATTTTATGTAGATAAAGTTACTAATTGTTATAAATTTTATATAATCAAATAGACAAAATTCTTAGCAATAAAATAATAACTTGGTCTCCAAATGCATGTCTTCCAATAATAATTGGTTTAGTCCAAGTGGATACAATACGTGGGATTTTTTTCAATAAGATTGGTTCACTGAAAAAAACAAATTTATTATTAAATAAATAATCAAAGAATTAAATCATCAAATAATCAACTAACCGAAAAACAACACCATTCAAGATATTACGAATTGTTCCATTTGGAGATTTCCACATTTTTTTTAAGTTAAATTCTAGAAAATTTAAAAAATATATTTATATTATTGTACTATATATTATAAATCATTCAATTATTTAAAATTAATCACCTTTGACTCTTTGTTCATCAGGTGTAATAGTTGCACATTTAATACCAACATTGTGTTTCTTGATCGCTTCTGCTGCCTCTATTGTGACTCTATCATTTGTCTATAATTTGGAGTTAAAGCAATAAATTAATAATTTATTTTATATATGAATATATGATAAAACTTACTGTATCACGATTTTCCATGCCCAAATCAAAATATTTAATTTCGATATTAAGATAAGGTAAAATCAGCTAAATAAATTGATTAATTAGTATATTTTTTGAATTAGCAAAAATAAATTAATATGCATTTAAATTAAATTTGTTAAAATTTACTTTATCCTTTATTTTAGTCCAAATTATTCTAGTCATCTCATCTCCATCAAGTTCAACAACTGGATTATTTACAACTATACGAGAATCTAATCAAAATCAAATTGAGTTTAAATTCATTAGAATTGAATCCAATCAAATCAAGTAGATTAGCCCAATATGTGAGAATTAAATCTATCGCCATCAATCAATATGATATCATCAATTTGATCTAATAGTTTCGATATAATACCATCACTCTAATCTATACTCTAATCTGATCCAATAAAACACTATTTAATAACAATAATAAGGTTATATCACACATACAACATCTTTTTCCACTAATATCATTGCTTGCAGCAAATTTTAATGAATTATTAATAAAACTAAGGCTCCTTTTCTTATAACTTCTCGTGACATTAGCAATTGATGAAAGTCTGTTATTATTAATAATTTTAAGTATACCTGGCATTTTTGACATTTTATTTCTAGTGGTTGGTGTAAAAATATTTAAAAAATATTTAAAACATCAATCTATAATATTATCCATCCATCTATATATTACTAAAATTCTAATGTCTGTCCGATTAGTGATTTGATTGGTCGGTTCTATGCACCATGATTTAACGTGTGTAATGTTTTATTATTATTATTTATTATTTATTAAATAAAAATACATGTATACTGGTATACAAAAAAAAAAATTTTTTTAAATCTATATTGTTAAAATTCTAATTTCTGTCCACGTTAATATTTTTATTGATAAAAGTTTATTAGTATACTACCCTCCAAAAAGTATCCGAACAAGAAGGTATAACATTAATATGTGGTCATGCTTATTGTAAATGTTTGGAACTTTATAAAAAGGGTGTTGTCTCAAATGTAAAATCCTATATAATAATAATAGACTAGAAAAAGATAATGGTTAATGATAATTTGTTACATTAAATGAAGAAATGATTATTTCCGAAATGTAAAATTTTAAATAAACTTATTATAAAACAAAAATGCATGAATCTGAGCCTAGAATGTCTTACAATATACTTACGTTGATCACTAAAGCTTGAAACATAGCTCCTATGTAACCCTTCAAAAGCAACTTGATCATTTGATCATTTTTCACACACATACCAAGAACATAGAAAGCAAAATATACATGTTAAAAAAATACATCTCAGGTTAAACAAATTTTTGTGCGCAGTCACGCGACTTTTTTCTATTCTAAATTCAATTGAAGTCACATGTTTCACAACATAAAAAAGATCAATGATCGATTTTGTCACATGTGATAAAATGAATGTCCACTATGCTATTAAAACCAGCATAGTGGGCTCTCTCTGTGATTGGCTGGCGCAAAATGAAATTGATTGGATGATTATTATTACGTTTATCATTACTATTAATCAATTTTTTAATGTTATCCTCAAGAACAATAAAATCATCTTTTTCAAAATTTCAAGACAATCAAATGACTTTATTGACAGTATTTATATGCATAATTTATCAAAATTCTAGATTGAAAACTTCTATTGCCATCATAATGACAAAAATACATGTAATAAAATGCATCTATAGTTTGAAGCAACATAAATATAATATCTATCATCTGAATGACAAACTTAAAAAAAAGTATATCCCACATAGAATTGAATATTTTATTCATAAAAAAATATTTATAGATGTTGAAAGCTTGCATCTTGTCATTACTTAATGTATCATCCAGTGCTGTGACCAGAAACTCTTTTGACTTCCCGAAACATTTGGAAAATGAGCTTACACTAAGCAGAAAACTAAACCTAAACATAAACATAAACATAAACTACTAACCTAAACTAGTTTCAGGTGGTTTCTGTTAGTTTCTGTTTCGGGTTTTCCCTAAACTCAGAGTTTTGGGTCACAACACTGGTATCATCTAATTATAATAATACTCATTAAGTGACATAAATTACACTATTACAATTAATACTTTTTGCATAATGAAAGAATTTCAAATATTATATTGTTAATAAGATAATTATTTATTCAACACACTTGCTATTGTAACATATTAACTATGATGAAACATACCATTCTTTAGACTAGTAGATCCAAGCATGTTGTAATCATTTCTTTATATTGTAGAACTATTTCAAATATTACATCATTAATAAGATAATTATTATTCAACACACTTCTTATTATAATGCATTGACTATGATAAAACAGAATAATAATATTCCTACTGTTCTTTGGCCAAGTAGATCAAGCATGTTGTGATTATTTCTTTAGAACTATAAATATTTTTTCAAAGCATAAAGTTCACTGATTTTTTTTTTAATGTCTATTTATTTTGAATGCTTGGAAACACTTCTCATCTAACTTTTGAATTACCTTGTCATTTTTTGAATTACTTTGGTATTATATTAAACAGAACTTAAGATTTCTATTAGTATGTGCTTTATAAGCCAGAAATAATTTTTTGTGACCAGAAAAGGGGTTAAGTCAGATGATTAGAAATTTTAATAATGAATTTTGATTTATCTATCTATACCTTGTCAATCAGCCAATCAAACTTAAGCCTGCTATGCTATATATTAAAACCATGATCTAAATAATTTTTCTGACCCTTTTGTTCATTATCAAATGCCAAAAATACTAAGTCATTTGGAAATGGTAAAGATTCACCAACTAAATCTTCCTGCTGTTGAACAAATTTGTTATATCCACCAGAACTTAAGAAGTGGCTATCAATATCTATAGTTTTTTTTTGATTTGGCTATTGAATATTTGATTGCTGATGATGCCAAATTTATAGCAGAAACATATTTTAAATTCTTGCCCCATAAATGGCTTCAACTGCCACAGCACATTTGAATAACTTTTCCTCTTTAAGTTGATCATCATCATCATCATTATGAGAGTTTCAAGAAACTTAACAACAATCGGATTCAGAAGTAGAATATCCTAAAAGGCTATCTAAACTAAATTGTTTTTTATCATTAATTAAGTTAATGATATCATCATATATGGGTTCCATGCTAGCAAAATGGACCTTCGGGAAAAAAGGGGTTTTTGAGAAATCAGCTGATTTTCGTTTTTCTCCCCATTTTTCTGTCAAAAAATCCCTGATTTTTGACTTTAAAAATAAACTACTAACCCCTTTTTTGTCCCACAAAAAAAAAATTTTTTATTTACAATAATTAAAATAATTAAACATGACAACTAGTCAAGAAACTTCTCAATATTTTTATGATTTATTTGAACTTGGTTTAGAAGAATATAATGATTATGAAAATATTCAAGAAATTATTCATAATTTAAAAAAATTTTTGAACATTCAACAAGTTGTACTTGCTGTGTTCTTGGAAAACAAAAAGACATTAGAACTTGCTTTGAAAAAATTTGATTTAAAAAATTTTTCAAAGACATTTTCAATCATTAATTTAACAAAGAATTAGATTTATTTTTGAAAGCACAAATTTTAGCAATGGGAAATAGAAAACAAAAATTTAAAAGTCTTCTGAAAAAATTATTCAGAAACAAATTATAGATTTTGCTTTAATTCAACATACTCTCTTTGCCAAACAGCATTTTTAATGTTATATAATATAAGCAATCATAAATTTAAAAATATTGTAGAACATTTACACAATGAAGGAATAAATGAATGAATTCATGGAAACACAGGAAGAGCTCCTATATATAAAACTAAAGTCAATATTGATGAAAATTTAAAATTCATTGTA